CCGACGCCGCCGCGAGCTCATGGCTCGCTAAGCGGCCTTTGGGGGAGACCAGGCGGGAGCGTCCGTGGATGTGGTAGCATCCCTTGATCCTGAACTCAAGCAGCTTTCCCACGAGCGCTGACTTGTTAGACGGGCTCACGTGCGCGAGCAGCGTGCGACTCTTTTGCAGGAGGCGAGGGAGCGGTGGACGGGCGGGCATGCTTCTGAGGGGGTGCGACGAACCAGGCGCGCGGCCAAGTGTCGATATGGGGCCAAGAAGACGGACGGACGTCTGGTCAGAGGCATGCCCCCCGCTCGGGCCGAATGGCTCGCGATCTGGTCGCTCTCGGGACCCGGGGGGGGGGGGGGGGCGCGCGCAAGAAATTGCGCGGGGGGAGTGGGGGAGTAACAGAGAGGATGCGGGGAGCGGCTACGGGCTTGCGGGGTCGGAGGAGGCGAAGGTGGCGGCGCGGGAGGACCTCGAGGCGATGCGATGATAACGAGCGCCGAAGCGACGCGCAGTGCCTGCTGGGGCGGCCCCATTGGAGGCATGGCAACAACTATTGTGGCCAAGTTATCGGGTGCGCCAGCGTAGGGAAGTGGGCAACGCGGGAAGAATGCCAGGTACACCGCTCTTCTGGTTCTTGCTATGTGTAGGCTTGCAACCGATACGGGGGCACAACGAGATCCCACTGCGTTGGAATTGGTCGAGAGGGGTGGGGTTGCACAAATCCTTGTTGCGTGGGCCGCGGGGCAAGTATTTCACAACTAAGTTACGGCCCCAGGCAATTGTGCAGGGTCACGGACTCATCAGGGAAGGGAGGAGGGGAATTGCTGGGAACTGCTGCACTGACAGCGCAAGTCACCAGCTGGCGCCTACGACGCCTAGGTCGCACCAATTGCATGCCTGTAGAAGATCCCAGCAATGCCTTTCCGAGTTCGCTGTGCACGGAGCTCGATGCGACAGTTTCACTATGCGCGTCCTCGAAGGATGTCGACTTGCGCCGGCAACGATATCGAACTTCGATCATTGAGTTGGAGGCTAGTGACGGCCCGTTCCGTGTCCGCCCCATCGCGGAGGTGTGATGGGGGATCCATTGTACTGCGCAAGGGTTATTGGGGACATGCGGACGGGCCACGACGTCATGGGGGCGCCGCGTTTTTACGACCGACGGTTCGGCCAAGGTCTTGATTTCGAGCTGTCAGCAACTATCAGTGGACTTGAGCCCTATCAAATACGCAGACGCCCATGACACATTGGTTGGCGTAGATTTGGGTGGCACTATATCGGCCTTTCGGTTCAAATAAACTTGGGTGGATGCGACGCTCGACGAGCATTTAGGCCACTACGGTCGCTGTCGACATACTGACAGACAAGAACTGCTCGTCTATTTGCCAACCGCCAACCAGTCACGGCCCGCGCGCCCAGTTCTGCGGACGCGGGGTCACAGGGGGCCACTGCCTCTGAGGGGGGGGTCAGGGGGCGCGCGCGCGTTATTTGGGGCCGCATACTTATGCGCTGGTCACGGGCCATCACGAGATGCCGCGACGACGCAAGGCGACTCATCAAACCTTCTTTCGCTTGGGAGGGCGGAGAGCCCGTGCGAGGCCGCCGGGCGGGCAATGCGTTGTTGAGTGGACTCGGGCCCTTTGTGCGAGTCGGACTAAAGCCAGCTCGACGAGCTCGCGGCGGCCCCGCGCAGGATAGAGATGGCGGGGGGGGGCCTGCGCGGAGGCGCCCGCGGGGCGTGAGACTAGCGCGCCCGCGGGCCAGGTCCTGCAGCGCTGGTTTTCGTCTGGAAGTCGAACGGACCTCCGTGTCGGAAGGCTCAAACGGCATCGCTCTCGGGCCCGCAACTCCGCGGCTCACGCCCGGCCCCTGCGCGCGTTATTCGGGGGGCTGCGGGGGGGGGGGGGGGGGGGGGGCGCCCCGATCGAGGCCGCAGCTGCGACGGGGTGCGCCGACGGGCGCGGCATCTCCTGGGTTGCGACAGATGGAATCAGAATTTCGCGTGGCGGCTCCCATCGTGGACCCCTGCAGCCTCGGCGAGATCCTGGGGGACTTAATTATCTTTGCGGACTCGGAGAGGACCTCGGAATTCGCGAAACTGGATTCTGCCAGCGGCGCTGCACGCTGCGCGCAGATACCGCGGCCAGGATATTCTGGCTTCGTGAAAAAAACAGAATTAGGTCATTTGTTTGATGATTAACTTTCCACGATGACCGACGGACGTGCCGACGGCGACATCTACGGGGTGCGCCGGCGAGGATGGGGGATTTCAGTGCGTTGTGAAGATTGAAGGGGGGATGTTCGGGGCTCGGTTTGCCGCCCAGACCTCCTTGAACGCACGGCGCGGCAACGTCGCCTCCATGGCCCCGCTCATGTGCTGACCCCGACGAACATGTGCATTGGAAGGAAGCAGGCGTTCAAGACCCGGACCGCGGCTGCTCGTCGCCTGGGGGGCTCTATCAGGGGGGGTCGACGCGACTGGGGTGCGCTGGGGAATCCGCCGCGGAGCAACGAGGTCTTGCAGGAACCGCTGTCGTTGAAGTGCCCGATCTGTTTCCACGAGGCGGGGGGGCCCCCCGCTCTCCGCGGCCACCGCTGCGCGCGTCCCCCGCCAATGCTGAAGTCCGAGCCCGCCCCGCCGCATGGCAGAGCATTCGGCGAGGGCGCCGCTGGCGATGCCGTCGCGGCCCAGCCCGCCGACCCAGCCCAGGGCCGCCAGTGCCGTCGGCGGAGAAGCAGTGGCGCCGGCGCCATAGCGCGCTCGCGCGGGGGGCGAGAATGACGCGGACGAGCTCCTCGCTGCTCGAGGCCGTCGGTCGCGCGGTGCTCGCGCGGGCTCGCGCCGCGGCAGATCCCCAGGCGGCGGCGGTCGCGCTCGTGATTGCCCAGTCGCGGGGGCCCCCCGCGGTCGCGCAGGCGGCGGGCAAGAAGTGCGAGGAGGGCATCGAGACCGCGCGCGCAGGGAGCTTCACTTAGGAGCAGTGCAGGGCCCGCGGCCCGCCGCGCATCCACGCGTTCTCGGCGGCCTTCCAGCGCGCGGCGGCGCCCCGACCGAGGGTCAGGAGGGCGATGAGACCAGCGCCCTCGAGGCGAAGCAGGCCTGGGGGCCCCCGATCCCGACGGCCCAAAACTGGGAGGTGGCGGAGGCGGCCCTCGACTCCAGGTTCAAGGTGTCGCGCCAGGACCAGGGGGGGTCGCGGGAGCAGCGGCGCCTCATCATCGCGAACTCCAACATGAACACGAAGTTTGCCTCGATCTTTCGCCCCCGCATCATGAGCGGGATCAAGTGCGAGGGCGGAGCAGCAGTCCGCGGTTCGGCGCCGCGGGGCCCGCTGGCGAGGGAGATCGCCAAGGCGGCGAACCAGGCGAAATAAGTCATCCCGCCCTGCGACCTCGCGAAAGAGGCGGGGATATGAGGCGGGGCCAATTTTTTAACAGCTCGGTTCGTTGAGCGGAAGTGGAGGCGCAGGGTAGCATCGGCTCAGCTCTGGGACGGCGGCGAGGGCTCGCGCGGGTTCTTTGCGAATCAGCAGCTGCGAAGATGCTGCTCTGCCCGCTCGCCTGCTAATTCATGCGCCTGGCCGCGGCCGAGGCCCTCGAGGGAGACGCGGTGGTCGCGGGCGCCGTGGAGGGAGAGGCCCCTCTCGTGCCTGAGTAGGCGCTTCCCATAGGGTTGCTTGCCTCAGATGGGGGTGGTTCACGGGCCTGTGCCCCAAAGGGGGGCGCAGGCAAGGCATGGTAACTTTTCTAGGGTTTCCTCCGCGTTGGGATGCAAGGTCCTGCCTCGGAATCCAGGCCTTTTTGCGATGGAGTCACGAGGCGCAGTGGCACGGTAGTTGCAGGATCAGCGTGGATGCCTTGAGGTTCGCTCGCTCGCCCCTCATCGCCACCACCACCATCATCATCACCATCATCAGCCTCATCATCGTCGTCATCCTCATCCTCATCGTCATCATCAACAGCAGCATCATTATCATTATTGTCGCCACCACCATCACCGTCATCAATATCATCATTATCGCCACCATCCGCATCATCAACATCAGCATCATCAGCGGCATCACCATCACGAACATTATCATCATTACCACCATCATTATCACCATCAGCACCATCAGCACCATCGTCAGCATCATCATCATCAGCAGCATCGTGCCAACACCATTGATACCAGTACGATCGCCATCATCATCCTCATCATCCTTTTCGTCATCATCATCATCAACAACATGGCCGCCAACATGTGGATCATAATCGTCACCACCGTCGTCGTGCTCATCATCATCGTCATCATCATCACCGTCATCATTCGCATCATCATCATCACCATCACCATCAGCATCATCATCATCACCACCAACATCACCGACAGCAGCAGCATCAGCATCAGCACCATCCCCATTACCAGCGTCATCAACAGCATCATCATCAGTATCGTTGCCGTCATCCTTATCACCATCGTCATCACCACCCTTGTTACCATCACCCTCGTCTTCATTGGCATCAGCATCTTCATCATCACCATCGACACTATCATCATCATCATCATCATCATCATCATCATCATCATCATCATCATCATCACCAGCATCGCCGTCATCATCATGATCATGATCATTACGATCACCAACGTCATCAGCATCACCACCGTCAACAGCAGCATGATCGTCATCATCACCACCACAACCATCCGCCCCTTTTTCCTCCTTTCTCCAACTTCCTCCTCCCTCATCCTTCCTCCTTCTTCCTCCTCCCTCCTCCTTCTTCTCCTCCTTCTCCCCCTTCTACTCCTGTTCCTGCTCTTCCTCCTCCTCCCCCTTTTCCAGCTCGCCCTCCTCCTCCTCCTCCTCCTCCTCCTCCTCCTCCTCCTCCTCCTCCTCCTCCTCCTCTTCCTCTTCCTCCTCCTCTCCATGCCATCCTCTTCCTCTCCCTCTTTCCCCTCCTATTCCTCCTCATTGTCCTCTTCCACTTCCTCCTCCTCCATCTTCTTCCCATTGGGGGGGGGTAGCAGGAGCCCGCCGCGCCCGCCGCCGCTGCGCCACCTGGCGGAGCCTTCAGCGCCCCGCCCGCCAGCGGCTTCAGCGCCCCGCCCGCCAGCGACGCTCCGCCGCGGGTCGCCCCAGCCTCTCCTCCGCCTCCTCTTCCTCCTCCTGTTCCTCCTCCTCCTAATCCGCCTCCGCTACCTCCTCCTCCTCCTCCTCCTCCTTCTCTTCCTCCTCCTCCTGCTGCTCCTCTTCCTCCTCCTCTTCCTTCTCCTCCTCCTCCTCCTGCTCTTCCTCCTCCACCTCCTCCATCTCCCTATCCTTTAATTCCTCCTCCTCCTCCTTCTCCTCCTCCTCTTCCTCGCCCAACAAGGTGATCGATCTTTATGTGTTACAGTGCCAGGGCAACGCCAGGCTAACGGCCAGGATAAGTTGAAGCAGAGTCTGATCCGAGGTGTGGTTACAGCCAACACGTCCTCACACGGACCGCTTACTGACTTGCTTGGAAGCTCTGGCTATGATAATGTGATTTTTCTGTGTCAGGAACACCACGTGGTCGACTCCAAGCTCGCGGACGTCCAGGCGCGAGTGGCGAAGAAAAGCTACTCAGGCATGTGGTTCGCCGCTGCGGGCACAAGCCGTGGTGGATCGAGCGGAGGCGAGGCAGTCCTTGCCCCTCGTCATGTGCGTGTTTGCGCGCCTCCGCTGCTCGATAGCCTTGAGATCTCCCCTTCCAGAGCAGGTGCTGCTTTGGTTAAGTGTGGTAGGCCTGGTGGCATGATGATGGTGTCGGTGTACTTGATTGCCGGCGCAGGTCTCAACGCTGCCAATCTCGACATCGTCATCGCCGTCACCTCGTACCTTTACCGGCTTTCTGAAATGCAGATTCCCTGGGCCGTCGGCGGCGATGGGAACATGGAAGGCGCTGATCTAGACCCGTGGTTCCAGGTGGTGGGAGGCCTGCGCTTCTCGTCAGATGACCCCTCGTGTGCGCGGTCTCTCCCAGGCACGGAGCGCGACTTCTCTTTTGCGTCAAAGGATCTTCTCAAGTTCTCGGGCCCAGTGGAGGTCGGCGTCGGCGCCGAGCTGTTTCCACGCCGTCCTGTGATCCTGCCCCTTCGCTGGTCTCCGACGAGCATGTGCTGCAGGATTCCCGACGGTCCCAATCAGTTCCCTGCCCAAGATAGGCTGCGCGCGCTACCCCCCCGTCGTGGAGTGGCAACAGGTCCAGGCTCAGATCCAGAGTGCGAGGTCAGAGCTAGACTAAGCGAGTTGCTGGGATTCAACCTTGGCGCGTATTGAAGCAGAACTGTGTGATCGCAACGACGTTATGGATCGAGCTGGTCGTCGCAGGCACTTCGGACGCGCTGGACCCCCGACTTCCTCTTGGCAATCGCTGTGCCCGTCGGCTCCTGCACAGTTGCAGCCTGTGCAGGCATGGCGTGTTCTTGGTCGATGGCTACGACGCGTTCGCTCGGTCCGTACCAAGCTGTGTTTGCTTGCCGTCGAGCAGGCCATCGACCCGAGCGAGTCTGGGCTGATGGCGTTGTCCAGGCAGTTTTATGTTCTTCAAGGGCTTGCTTCGAAGATCCGCACCCAGCCCTGGACCGTAGAACAAGCGACCCCCGAGGTGTATGATTTCCCGGTCAACATCCCGTCTAGTTTCGCTCGCGGAGATTTCGATGAGCAGGTTCAGAAATTGCTGGACATTGTTGACTCCCGCCTGCAGGGGGTTGCCGCTGAGTCGAACAAGGCGTGGGCTTCTTGGGTACAAGAGGCTTTCTCAGACGGCCTGGGAGCTGCTCATAAGTTCTCCAAGACCAAGGAGCTGCAGGAGTTGGCTGACCACACTGCGCGTCCCCAGCCGTTCCAGATGGCTGATGATTGCATGTCGGAGTGGAAGAAGGTCTGGTGCAGGCATGACTGCAAGGAGGTGCCGCTGCCCAAAGGCGCCCAGCAGTGGGGGCCGCTCCCACCCATCGGGTGGACATGCTGGGGCGGGCTATGAGGCCGTTCCCCACCAAGACGGCGCTCGGACAGCTTGGCCTCGACCCGCGGACGCTGCTCGCCCTGTCTGAGCACGGCCTGCCCACGACCAGCATGCTGTTCGAGGCGTGTGAGCGCCTCCTTGCGCGGCCTGCTAGCCGCCTCGAGACTCGTCCAGTTCGGGCCCCAAAGCCTTCTGGGGGCCACCGTTGAATAGCTCTGCTGAATTCCCTGGTCCGTCTCTGGGGGCGGGTTCGGAAACCTGCGTCTCAATCCTGGGGGCGCCCCCATCGGGGCCCGTCTTTCTGGGGGAACGGGCCGGGGGCTAGTTCCTCGGACGCGGCCTTCGACCATAATCTGGGGGCGGAGGCGGGGACGGCTTTGGGGGAGTGCTCGGTCAGCGTCTTTTCAGACATGTTTAAGTGCTGCGAGTGCATCATAGCAGCTAAACTTCTGCCCGAACCTATGTGCGTAGGATACCCGCTGCGCGTGATGTGGATGATCGTTGCATCCTATCGGTGCCCTCGGGTTATCCAGGCGTTCGGGTCGGCTTCTCAGCAGGTCGTCTCTCGCCAAGGGATATTCATTAGCGAGCTGTAGCCACGTTGGCGCTATGATGCGAGTGCTCCTCGCGCGCGTTATATCCAAGATGCGTAGGCTTTATACTTTCATTCAGCCTAAGGTTCTCATGGGTGACTCTAGCTCCCAGTGGATCGGTGAGCGCATCGGAGAGAGCGAAGTCCTGTTGGCCGCTGCGAGGTGGCACTGCGCCCACGTATAGAAGCTCGGCCTCGCCCCCCAGGCGGCCAAGAGCGGGCTCGCGGCTACGGCCGCGAGAGCGCCGCCCCAGCTGTCGCCACCTGCTCGCGTCGCGACGCTCCGCAGCCACGCCCGCGCGAGAGATCTTGGCCACGAGGCTTCTGCTCGGGCCGGCCTGCGAGGGCCCCGGGAGGAGGCTCGCACCGGCAAGCTCTGTGAGCGGCGCGACAAGTTGTCTGCGCTCCGCGGGGCTGCCCCGAGTAAAGCAATGCCCGCTGTGGAGGGCGGGCCCCGTGCCCGCGCTGGTGCGCGCGCGGGGCGGGGGCGTCAGGGCTGGCCGATCCGGCCTCGGGGGCCCCTCGGACCACGGCGGGGGCCCTGGCGGGCGCGGAGCGAAGCGGGTCGCTGACGGCCTGGTTGGCCACCCAGCCTGGCCCCATATTGCGACCCCATGTATGATGCGACCGTCCCTCTGCTCCAGCGTTTCGCGTCTTGCATGTGGGATTCCAGGTTTTCCCCGGGCCGGCCCCAGAGAGCCTGGATGGTGAGATTTTCCGAGGTCCAGGACCGCCCGACTTGGAAGTCTCGCCGCGGTCCCAGCAGTGCAGTTTTGTAACGCCCCATGCGCATCAATTGGGGCATGGCTCTGCGCGCGTCGTCGTCGACGACGGCGGACGGCGCGTTAATTCGCCCCTCGTCCGTCCGCTCGATCTCAAGATTCTGCCCCGCGAGGGAATGCAGATGTGGCAGGCGCAGAAGATTGGCCACCTCCCTCCAGCGCGCGGGTCAGAGCGCCCGCGGCTTCGAGGGCTGCGAGTTACTTTCTTCAAAATGTGCGACGGCGCGCGTCGCGCCGCCCTCCGCTGTCTGATCGGCAACGCCATGTGGACACAAGAGAGAAAGCATGCTGCTGGATATTGCGACTCGCCTCTTTGCGCGCTCTGCAGTCAGCAGGTTGTCGGTCCCCTGACCCACCAGATATATCAGCGCGAGACGGTCCTGGGCCACCCTCGCTCGCAAGGCCAGGTGATCCCAGAGGGCGTTCTCGCGCGCAGGTCTGAGCTTCGGGAGAAGGGTCGTTTTGACGAGGGCGTGCAAGTCTGGGATTCTCTGGACCTCCTTCACGGGCTCTCCCCGGGCCCCGTTGCCCTCGACCCCGTCCCCGACGCGCCCCCCGCGCGCGAGTGGGGCGAGGCCGAAGCGCCTCGGGGGCGGGCCGCCTATGCCGACGGTTCGGGGCCGTGTAGCAACAGCCCCGAACTGAGACGGCGCGGGTGGTCCGTCGTGGAGTCGGGGCCCCGTGGGCTGCCCGTTCGGGGGCCTCCCTGGTCGGCTGCAGTCGGTCCTCGGGCTGGGCGGTTCGCGATGCATCGGGCGCGTCGAGTTGGCGCCCTTAAGGCGCGCGTCGTTCGGACCACCCGGGCGCCGCCCAGGGAGGGGCGGCGCGGGGCCCCCCTTCCTGGCCTCGAGCGGGTCGCGGCATGCTGGCAGCTGGAAGGCCACTTTTGCTTCGTGCCCCCTCACATGGGCCGAGGCCGTCCTCTGAGTGGGCCCCGTCGCACATGGGTTGGGGCGATGTGGTTGCAACTGGGGCCGAGTCTGAGGTGATTAACTTTGGTAGGGAATCCTTGGGCCGATTTTTTCGCCCGCCTGGGGGCTGAGTCGCACGTCGCGGCCCAGGCCATGGAATAATTCCAGTCGGGCGTTATAGCCTCGACGAAACTCGCGTTCGATTTGTTGTGCAGGTTCGCGCAGTCGTTCGCCGCTGTTGCTCAGGAGCTGTCGACCCCGTCTTCCGAGCCGCTGGCCCAGGGCCCCGTCATGTTCCTCGGGATGCGAATCTGGTGCTGTCTCAGCACGACGTCTTCCATTTCCCGTCGCTCAATGAGTGGCGGCGCCGTGCTTGTAACCTCCTCGCCCGGGCGCCTTCGTCCCTGGCTCAGTTGCTTTTTGGCCCGCGCAGAGTCGGTGGTCCGACGTCGTGCCGGGCCTGGCAGGCGCAGGCGGTTTTCGCCTTGCGCGTCGAGCAGGGTGCCCCGATGTCCTCGGCGGCGGCGCCGTTGCCCCTTGAGGGCGCGGAGAGGGTCCTGGGGCCCGCTCCTGTCGCCTAGGCGCCGCCCGTCGAAACCCTCGCCGGTTTCGTGCCCCTGGGCCACCAAATGGAGCAGGTTGGTCGGGTCGTCTTTTGTTCCTTGTGCTCGGCCCACACTATCCTTTTTGTGGGTAATCTTCGTGGGTTTGAGGCCAGGTGCCTGGGTAGATCGACTCATCCCTCGAATCGAAGCTCCTAGGCAACAAACATTAAATACGCTGCACGAGACCTCCACCCGAGAACGGGGAAGCCACTCGATCCAGTTTAGTTTCTGTGTATCGGGGGGGGGGGAAGCCTGTTACGCCATCGGGCCCTCCCCCCTCTTCGGAAGGTCTGTCCCTTGTTTGCCTTGCGCCTCCGTACGGATCGGTAGCGCCAGGCTGTGCGTCCCTCGCTGTCCCTACTCATCGTCGCTGTCCCTTCTCCTCTACTCTCTCCTTGTTCTCGCCCCCCTTCTCCGTCTCCCCTTCCACCATTTCTTCTCGTCTCCCTTCTGGTCCTCCTCCGCCTCATCGTCGACCTGCTCCTCCGCTCTTCCCTTCCCTCCTCCTCCTCCTCCTCCTCCTCCTCCTCCTCCTCCTCCTCATTTCTCTCCTTCTCGCTTTTCCGTCTCCTCGTCGCTCTCCCTTCTCCTTTACACATTCTTTGCTCTCGCCCTCCTCCTCCTCCTCCTCCTCCTCCATTTCCTCCCTCTCTTCTCGTCTCCCTTCCGGTCCTCCTTCGCCTCATCGTCGTTATGTTATTTCCTCTCCCTCTCTTCTCGTCTCCCTTCCGGTCCTCCTTCGCCTCATCGTCGTTATGTTACTCCTCTGCCTCCTCCGCTTCCTCCCTCTCCTCGTTGTCCTCCCTCCTCCCCCTCCTCGCTCCTTCCCTTATCCTTCCTCCTTCTCCTCCTCTTCTTTCCTCCTCCTTTCCTCCTCCTTTTCCTCCTCCCTCCTCCTCCGCCTCCTAATCCTCATCTTCTTCTCCTCGTCCCTTTTTCTCTCTCCTCCTCCTCCTTCCTCCTCCTTCGTCTCTTCCTCCTTCTCCTCTTCTTCCTCCGCCTCTCCTCCTCCTCCCCCTCCTCTCCTCCTCCTCCTTCTCATGCCTCCTCCTCCTCGCCCTCCTCCTCCTCCTCCTCCTTCCTCCTCCTCCTCCTCCGCATCATCATCATCATCATCATCATCATCATCATCAATCATCATCATCATCATCATCACATCATCATCTTCATTCATCATCATCATCATCATCATCATCATCATCATCCTCATCATCATCATCATCATCATCATCATCATCATCATCCCTGTCCTCCGCCTCTCCTCTTCCTCCTCCTCCTCCTCCTGCTCACCTCCTCTCCTCGTCCTCCTCCTCTCTCCTCCTCTTCATCACATCATCATCATCATCATCATCATATCATCATCATCTCATCATCATCATCATCATCATCATCATACCTCTCAGCCTCCATCTCTATCATCATCATCCCTCCTCCGCCTCCGCCTTCTCCTCCGTCCTTCCTCCTCCCTCCTCCTTCCTCCTCTCCTGTCCTCCTCCTTCTCCTCTTTTTCCTCCTCCTCCTCCTCCTCCTCCCACCTCCTTCTTCTTCTCCCCCTGATCCTCCTCCTCCTCCTCCTCCTCCTCTTCCCACCTCAGGCAGCAGACGCCTACTCTGGCTCGGACTACTCCAAGTACAGTTCCTCGATCTACGAGAGGGAGGGTCACCGCGACGTTATGCTTGCCCAGCTTGGGAGCCGAAAGGGTACACCTGCACCACCCCCGGCAAGAGAGGACGGGGGGAGGCGGGGAGGCCTCCTCCTCCTCATCCTCCTGGTGCTCCTCCTCCTCATCTTACCTCCGCTTCCCCCCTCCATCTCCTCCTCCTCCTCCTCCTCCTCCTCCTCCTGTTCCCATTTTCTTTATACATAGTTCATCCATGTTGCACCCCGAGACGGGTCTGTTGGGCGGGCTGGGCGTTTCGCTTGAGACCTACTCACATTGTATGATCATCCAGCTTAGAATTCGCAAACGTTTCACGGATCGAGAGCGGGCAGTTTCAACATGCGGTTCTCGCATTAGCGCCGCACTCGAGTTTCACGGATGGGGGGCGGGCTGTTTTGACCATATGATTAACGCCTTAAAGCCGCGTGCGTTCGTCTTCAAAGTTCTGCAAGAGCTTCGCGGATGGAGGGCGGATTCGTTTTTGAAGATGTGGTTCTCGTCTTAGCGCCGCGGATTTTCGCTTTGAAGGTTTGCAAGAGTTCTACGGATGGAGAGCGGCTCTTTTTCAACATGCAATGCTCGTCTTAGCGCTTTTGTCTTCATTGCTTCCGTTCTTCGTATCGCTGACGTCCCAGAAACAAGTTGTGCGTAGGCGCGATCTAGGATGATCAGGGCGCGACAGTCACGTTGATTTGCGACGTTCAAGCCCCAGGAATGGTGTTCTGGCACGAAGTCCCAGGACTGGTGCTTCAGCATAGTTGCAGATCTTCAGACGCTTGTCGTCAAACGGGGCAGTTCCCGCAGTGAAGCTACATATTTGTAGTGATCCATGAAGAGAGAGCTTGGGATGAGGGTTTACTGCAATATCTTCAATGAGTCTTGGGCTTGCGTGGGTCCTCCTCCTCCTCCTGGGACCCCCGGTCGTGCTGTGAGCAGTCAAACGGGGGAGCTGCGTACACAGGAGAAGGATGATGCTGATGCTGATACTGACGGTGATGCTGATGCCGATGCTGATGCTGCTGATGACGAGGATGATCGTGGTGGTGATGATGCTGGCGATGATGACAATGGTGATGCTGATGATGATGCTGATGATGATGCTGATGATGGTGATGATCGTTGTGATGGTGATGAGTATGCTGATGATGCTGGTGATGTTACTGCTGATGGTGATGCTGCTGATGATGATGCTGATGCTGATCGAGAATATTATACTGAATGTGATGATGATGTTGATGGTGGTTATGATGATGCTGATGCTAAAGCTGATGATGGTGATGATGCTGATGCTGATGCCTCTGCTAATGACGATGGTGCTGGTTATTATGATGATGGTGATGATGGTGATGATTGTGGTGATGATGATGATGAAGAGAAGGATGAGGATGAGGATGAGGATGAGGATGATGATGATGATGATGATGCCGATAAGGATTCTGACTATGATGCTGCTGATGATGATGATGCTGGTGGGGATGATGATGATGCTGATGCTGATGCTGACGATGATGACGCTGATGATGCTGCTGCTGATGATGACGATGATGATGATGCTGAGGATGATGGCCTGATGATCATGATGATGCTGCTGATGATGGTGACGAGGATGATGATGATGATGATGGTGATGATGAAGACGATGAGGGTGCCATGATGATGGTGGTGTGGTGGTGGTGGTAATGATGATGATGAGGAGGAGGATGAGGATTGTGATGATGATGATGATGATGATGATGATGATGATGATGATGATGATTCTGGTCATCGTGTTGGTGATGGCGCTGGTGATGGTGGTGGTGGTGATGATGATGATGATGATGATGCTGATTATTATTATCATTATGATGACGATGATGCTAATGCTGATGATGCTGATGCTGATGTTGATGATGGTGATGCTGATGCTGATGCTGCTGCTGATGATGATGATGGTGATGAAGGACTAGGGTCCATAATTGTTTCCCGCGCTGGGGCGAGAGCGCCGTTTGGAACGGAGCAACGCTAACGCTGCAGCACAAAAGCCATCTTGAAATACCGGCAACGTTCCGATTGAAACAACAGTACCAAACACCGCCATGTGAAATCTTAAACGCTAAAAGCCGTGTGCGGGAGGGAACGGGCCCCTCTCGGACAGGATCCAGGGAGAGAGGAGATTTGCATTCATATAGAGTAACTGTGGAGAGATCAGGGGACAAGCTACACGCGCTCGTGCCATAACTGAAGTCCCACCCCTCGCACACATCCGTTCCCATTGCGCTGTTTCGTGTATTCGCGACGGGTTTCCCAGTGGACCTACACCCCCCAAATTACCAAACGTGTGATGCGCAATCAGGAAGCGGAGCTGTGTACATTGGGGGATGAGCCAGGGGACGAGCACGAGGACGAGGAATGAGAGGACCGCGGGGGGAGAGAGGGAGGAGAAGGAGGGAGATGCAGAAGGAGGAGGGGGAGGAGGAGGAGGAGGAGGAGGAGGAGGAGGAGGAGGAGGAGGAGGAGGAGGAGGAGGGGGAGGAGGAGGAGGAGGAGGAAGAGGAGGACCAGTAACAGCAGCAGGCGCAGGAGTAGGAGGAGTAGGAGGAGCATGAGCAACAGGAGGACCAGGGTAGAGCGCAAAAGGGGAAAGGAGGTGGGCGGCAGCAACGAGGCACGAGTCAGATGCAGAATTTTGGCCCGCGCCGGGGCGAGAGCGCCGTTCCGAACGACGGAAGCAGTTCGTCTGTCCCGGAGCAGAGTTGCTGCTGCAGCGAGCGACGGGCCAACTGGGGCCGTTCTCGCTCTCGGGGGGGGGGGCCGTGGAGGCCGGCTGGGACTGCCGGGGGTGCCGTCCGTGCGGAAGCCGAAGCCTTACCAGGGTGGGGATGCGACGGGATGGGCAGGGGAGGAGGAGGAGGATGAAAGAAGAGGAGGAGGAGGAGGAGGAGGAGGAGGAGGAGGAGGATGAAAGAAGAGGAGGAGGAGGATGAAGAGGAGGAGGAGGTAGGAGGAGGAGGAGGAGGAGGAGGAGGAGAGAGGAGGAGGGAGGAGGAGGAGGAGGAGGAGGAGGAGGAGGAGGAGGAGGAGGAGGAGGCGCAGGCCGAGAGGTGGGCAGCACGAGTGGCGGGGGGGGGGGGGGCGAGTGGGGGCACGAGCGAGGGCGAGGGGGCACGCGCGAGGGGGGCGAGGGAAGGCGACGGGGGGAAGGATGATGACGATGAGGAGGAGGAGGAGGAGGAGAAGGAGGAGGAGGAAGAGGAGGAGGAGGAGGAGGGGGAGGAGGAGGAGGAGGGGGAGGAGGAGGTGGCGGAGTCGCAAAGCGATCGGAATGCTTTTCTTCCTCCAGCGCGCCGCGCCAGAGCACATCAGCCGCCCGCCGGGCGGAAGACCGCAAGCTGGTCAAGGGCCCTGCGGGGCCCGCGGAGCCAAACGGCAGCGGCCAGCGGACCTCCAGAAGGCTGTCTGGAGGTCCTCAACTGCACGGGCCCAAGCCAGGCCTCATCACGCGGCCCCTGATGGGGCTATGCAACAAGAAACAGCCACTGGTGGGCTGGCAGGCATGTGTAGGCCCCTCGGCCGACATCTCAGGAAGCATCAGGAACTCAGGAGAGGACGTACGTGTACGGGCGGAGGATGGGAGATGGTAGGAACGCAGGCACTCCGTCAGCTCCTCCTTCCTGCTAAATGCCATCTGGAGCTCGAAGGGGTATAAAACCAGCAAACCATCGACTTCATCAAATCGAGTCGCTCGCTGCGATATGGAAGTATGGAATAGCTTCATCAAGTCGAAACGCTCACCAAGAGCATACTGGAATATGAAAAGGAAGAGGAAGAGGAGGAGGATGAGGAGGAGGAGGAGGAGGAGGAGGAGGGGAGGGGAGGGGGACGAGAAGCGGATCCCCAGGACGAGGTCCAGACCTCCCGGGGGGCCACGTGGTGAAGGAGTCCCGCCGTCGGACGTTTGGGAAAGAGGCAAGGGGATACGGGGAGCGTGCCGGGTTCGGCTGCACGCAGAAGTGGCTCTTCGCCGGAGTGGCCTGTGGTGCGGACCCATAAGGGCACCCCGAATATTGGCAGGCGCGCTCGCATTCCCCCCCCCCCTCCCCCCCTCCCACCCCCCTCTTCCTTCCCGCGGCCAACCCAAAGCCGCGTACCAAAGGCCACTCTTGCCTAGGGCCTGGGCCCTTTCTTCCTTCCCCCCACGACTCTTCCTTTCCCCCCCCGCCCCCCTTCTCGCCCCGCCCCCCTTCCTCCACGCGGCCAATCGAAGGCCGTGCACCAAAGGTCACTCTTGCCTAGGGCCTAGCGCCACTCTTGCGTGAACCTACGGTTTTCAGGCCATGGCTCGCGCCTCCAGGGCCCTTCCGGTGCGGCCCAGGCACCCCTGGGAAGCCGTCGACGAGGCGCAGCTGCCGGCCAGCATCTCCCGCCGAGCAGGCCTCCGAGAGTCCCCCGCCTCTTCCCGTTCGACGACGAAGTCCCCCTCCCTAAGTCGAGGGGGGGGGCGGGTGTACGCGTTCTGCTCCCCGCCAGCGGGAGAAGAGATACGGAGACAGCTGGACCGACTCGCTCCCGCCGCGCGCCAGGCAGTGCGTCTACAGCATCCAGCTCGGGGCGAAGATGGGGGCCTGCATACGCAGAGGAGGAGGAGGAGGAGGAGGAGGAGGAGGAGGAGGAGAAGGAGGCTGTGATGATGATGATGATGCTGATGATGACGATGCTGATGATGATGCTGATGGTGATGATGATGCTGATGATGTTGATGCTGATGCTGATGCTGAGGCTGAGGCTGATGCTGATGTTGTTGTGTTGTTGCTAATGATGCTGACGATTATGATGATGCCATAGGTAATAAAGCTGATTATGCTGCTGCCGATGGTGATGATGATGATGATGATGATCATGATTCTGATGATGCTGAGGATGCTGATTTTGGTGATGATGATGGTGCTAATGATCATGGTGATGCTAATGATGATTGTGATGATGACTGTAGTGTTAATGCCGACGATGATGGTACGGATGATGATGGTGATGCTAATGATGGTGATGATGGAGATGATGGTGATGGTGTCGCTGATTATGTTGATGTTGATGTTAAGGTTCATGTTGATGATGGTGATGATGGGGATGATGGTGATGATGGTGATGATGACGGAGCTGATGATGCTGATGCCGATGCTGTTGATCTTGTTGATGACGATGACGGTGACTCAGTTGATGATGATGATACTGGCTATGATGATGATGATGATGGTGGTGCTGTCGATGATGATGATGATGATGATGACGATGCTGACGATGATGATTATGATGATGCTGAGTATGATGATGATGCTGATGCTGATGCTGATGCTGATGATGATGATGATGATGATGATCATGATGTAGAGGATGCGTATGATGATTATGGTGATGATGATGGCGATGATGATGATGCTGAGGCTGGTGATTATGATGCTGATAACGATGATAATGACGACGATGCCGATGTTGCTGCTGCTGGTGATGCTGATGATGAGGATGAGGAGGAGGATGCTGATTGTGCTGATGGTGGTGATGATACAGAGGATCATGATGATGATGCTGGTGATGATGATGATGGTCATGCTGCTGCTGATGCTGATGTTGATGATGATGCTGATGAGGAGGAGGAGGAGGAGGATGCTTATGCTGATGATGAACATGATGCTGAATATGATTAGCATGATGATGGCGATGATGACGAGAAGGATGATCATGTTGATGACGATACCGGTAATAATGATGATTGATGGTGCTGATGATGTTGATGCTACTGATGATGATGCTGATGATGATGATGGTGATGGTGGTGATGATGATGGTGCTATTGATCATGGTGATGCTACTGATGCTTGTGATGATGATGATGGGAGGAGGAGGAGGAGGAGGAGGAGGAGGAGGAGGAGGAGGAGGAGGAGGAGGAGGAGGAGGAGGAAGGAGGAGGATGGGAGGAGGAGGAGGAAGAGGAGGAGGAGGGGGAGGAGGGGGGCGGAGGAGGAGAGGAGGAGAGGAGGACGAGGAGGAGGAGGAGGAGGAGGAGGTGGTATGAGGAGGTGGAGGTGGATGATAAGGTGGAGTAGGAGGAGGAGGAGGAGGAGGAGAGGAGGAGGAGGAGGAGGAGGAGTAGGAGGAGGAGGAACGGTAGGCGAAGATGGGTGCTTCCGTGGGGGGCTGCTTCGGCATGCTGACGGGAGCCTACATGGCCGTCACGACCAGGAAGGCCTGGAGTCCTCTTGACTCCCTCTTCTTCTTCCGCCTCCTCCTCTCCCTCCTACTCCTCCTCCTCCTCCTCCTCCTCTCCCTCTCCCTCCTCTCCTTTTCAGCCTCTTCTTCCTCCTCCTCCTCCTCCTCCTCCTCCTCCTCCCTCCTCCTCCTCCTCTCCCTCCTCCTTTTCCTCCTCCTCATTGTCCTCCTCCTCCTCCTCCTCCTTCCTCCTCCTCCTCCTCCTCATTCATTCTCCTTGTCCTCCTCTTCGTCCTCCTCGTCCTCGTCCTCCTCTTCCTTCTCCTCCTCCATTCTCCTCCGTTCCCTCCCCGCAACGCCGACCCCTCAGCAAAACCGCCGCGAGGAGGGCTGGCAGAATGATGCGCCGGGCAACCCTTTCTTGTGAAGGTCCTGCTGAGGGGGTGATCACTTACTTTGCGTTTGGTGATCAGCGTGGGGGGGGGCGCCACACCCGCCGACAGCCCCAAACCGACCCCCGTCGCGGGCAAACATTACCGCCCGACGTCGACCTCAGTCGGCCCACTCCTCTTGCCGCAAAATCAGACGCCCGGCCCGCGGAAGCGGACATATTGCCGTGGGCTCCCCTCGGGGGGTGGGTGGGCGCTCACTACCAAACGCAGAGTATGTGGCGGTCTGGATGAGTCCGTCAGAGGAACGTGCTGGTTCTGCCCGTCTCCGTGATCGGGGGTGCCATCAGCTTCGGGTTCTTCCTGGGCTGCGGCATGATCATCAGATGCGAAGACCGTCATCCGAGAGGTCCTGGGCCCATGCTCCCAATTGCTGTGCTATGCCTTCCCTCCTCCACCCAGTCCTCCCCCGTCATTGGGGGGAGGGGGAGGAGCAAGGAGAAGGAGGGGGGAAAGAGGCGGGGGGGAGGGGAGGGAAGGGCGTCGACAGGTGAGGGTGAGTACGAGGTGGAGGAGGAGGAGGAGGAGAAAGAGGAGGGGAAGGAGGAGGAGGAGGAGGAGGAGGAGGAGGAGGAGGAGGAGGAGGGGGATGGGCAGGGTATGGGGAGGGGCAGGGTAGGGGGAGCGAGGGCGGGGGAAGGGAAGAAAGAGAGGCGGCGTGTATAGCGTTGTGGCCAAGGGTCAGGCGAAGTTGCGCGAGTTTCCGCACTGGTCGGAGACGAGTCAGGCCAACATGAGTCGCCCCCCCGTGTCTGGGCTGTCGCCCCTGGTCGTCTTGATGGTTGTGCTGATGAGTGAGTCGATGGTCTTCACGATGGTTTTCGCAGTTTTTTTGTGCCGACGGTTGTTCAGATTTCTTTAGCCGATGGTTGTGCCGATAGTTGTCCCGATGGCTGTCCAGATGGTTGTCCCAATTGTTGTCCAGATGATTGTCCCGACGGTTGTCCGATGGTTGTTCAGGTGGTTGTCCCGATGGCTGTCCCGATGGTTTTCCTAATGGCTGTCCAGGTGGTTGTCCCGATGGTTGTCCCGATGGTTGTCACGATGGTTGTCACGATGGTCTTCCCGACATATAGAGAGTGGAATGGACATATAGATCGGCATTGGTATCGACAGGTGCATAATAATACCTTTAGGTATTGAAGCGGGCAGGCTGATAGAGATGCATCGGCAGAATGGGTGTCTTGAGCAGTCTTTCAGCGTCGACGGCAATGGGTACTCATGATTATTTAATCGCTTCGCTCATTCCGCCGGCCTTGGAGCCCTCTTTAGGGCCTCTTGGGGGCCTCTTGGGGGCCTCTTGGGGACCTCTTGGGAGTCTCTTGGGGCTCCTTGGCGGCGTCTTGGGGGCCCCCAGGGCCTCTGGGGGGACTTTTGGGGGCCTCTTGGGGCGGGAGGGGGGGTAGTCGATTGCGGCTCCCCCCTCGGAGGCTACGATCCTCGTGAGGGGTGTCGAAAAATGGCCCACCCCTGGAGTGCTCTGGTGGCTTCTCCCGGGACCTTGCCGGGGTACTTCTCGTCCGGGGGCTCCCAGGGGCCGCTCCGCGCGCGCGAACTAGAAATATTGTTAGCCAGTTACCGGAGACCGTAGCACGCCTCTGGCCAGTTGGGCCGGCGAATTTTGGAAACCCGCCGAGAGTTGCCGTTTCAGTGTCTCTCTCGTGCATTGCAGCGGTGCCCGCATCGGGAAGGGTCGGGTCCAGCGGATCGCTAGCCAAAGTATCCCACGGGTGAAATCCCCGTCGTAAGGGCGCTGAGTCTTTTTGACGGCCCCACGAGCCAAGAGGGAGCGGCCCCCAGGAGGTCCAGAGCAAGGAAGTTCTGGCCGCCGCGATTCCTTCCTCCTTTGGGCGACGTCC